AGAGTGGCAGAAATAACTTATTGCGAGTAATTTAATTTATTGCGAGATTAAGTAACTGTCTGCGACTCGCATATCCACGCTTTGACGTACATACAAACATATGAACATCGGCCAATGGACCGCCGCTAACGTCGGGTGGTATCGCGGTCGTATTTTGCGCTAGTGGAAGCCAGCGATGTTTACGGTCAAGGTCCCGGATGTTGAATGAGTTCTGCCTCACGCAATAGACAGTCGGAGGTATTCGACATTCAACCGAATGGGTTAAATGTCTGCGTTTTTCTAATTTTATTACGTGAGCGGAGAGAAAAAAATTGGGCGAGCTTCACAGACGCTGGCAATAATTGTCAATATCCGTGCAGCGAAGTCCCACTGACTGCGCACCATCATCAGCCACGCAACTCGGCATCTTCAACCAGAGTGACACATGTAGAGCAAAACTTCGACTTGTGCCCTTGTCGCATGTGCTCTTTGATTCCTTTGACATTCCTCCACGGCTTACCACCGACATCCCCACATGGTGATAGCGTTTTGGGTCCTGACGTTTGTAGGCGCTGCGTTTGCCGTATATGTAGATATACATGTACAACATATACAATTGACCTATATATATAGATAGGTATATATATATATATATATATATATATATATATATATATATATATATATATATATATATATATATATATACGCATGTATGTGTCACGCTCTCTCTCTCTCTCTCTCTCCTCTCTCTCTCTCTCTCTCTCTCTCTCTCTCTCTCTCTCTCTCTCTCTCTCTCTCTCTCTCTCTCTCTCTCTCTCTCTCTCTCTCTCTCTCTCTCTCTCTCTCTCTCTCCTCTCTCTCTCTCTCTCTCTCGTCTTCTCTCTTCTCTCTCTCTCTCTCTCTCTCTCTCTCTCCTCTCTCTCTCTCTCTCTCTCTCTCTCCTCTCTCTCTCTCTCTCTCTCTCTCTCTCTCTCTCTCTCTCTCCTCTCTCTCTCTCTCTCTCTCTCTCTCTCTCTCTCTTCTCTTCTCTCTCTCTCTCTCTCTCTCTCTCTCTCTCCTCTCCTTCTCTCTCTCTTCCTCTCTCTCTCTTCTTCTCTCTCTCTCTCCTCTCTTCTCTCCTTCTCTCTTCTCTCTCTCTCTCTCTCTCTCTCCTCTCTCTCTCTTCTCTCTCTCTCTCTCTCTCTCTCTCTCTCCTCTCTCTCTCTCTCTTCTCTCTCTCTCTCTCTCTCTCTCTCTCTCTCTTCTCTCTCCTCTCTCTCTTCTCTCTACTCTTCTCCTCTACTCTCCTCTCTCTCTCTCTCTCTCTCTCTCTCCTCTCTCTCTCTCTCTCTCTCTCTCTCTCTCTCTCTCTCGCTCTCTCTCTCTCTCTCTCTCTCTCTCTCTCTCTCTCTCTCTCCTCTCTCTCTCTCTCTCTCTCTCTCTCTACTCTCTCTCTCTCTCTCTCTCTCTCTCTCTCTCTCTCTCTCTCTCTCTTCTCTCTCTCTCTCTCTCTCTCTCTCTCTCTCTCTCTCTCTCTCTCTCTCTCTCTCTCTCTCTCTCTCTCTCTCTCTCTCTCTCTCTCTCTCTCTCTCTTGCTTGCACCGACGTTCAGTGATCCTGATTGTGCCCATGGCGCGGAAGTAGTAAACCACCTCTAGGGTCGGTGGGGTCCGGACCCAGAAACTTTAAGCAGATTGAACCACTTTCGTGTTTATGCCCAATTACTGGCACCAGAACAGAAAAAGACCACGGCACCATTACGGCGCGGCCGTCGTCTGTGAGGCCACCGGACGCCCCCCGTGATGTACATCCACGCCCGTGGCCTCACGTGGTGAGGTGAACCCAGTAAGCCTGCGTCCTGTGCAGCTATGTGGTCCACGGCTATATCCACGCCGCGTCGAATTGCTTTTATGCCGCCGTCTGACCAAATTTACGAGGGATTAGGCCGCGGCGTGAAATCAGTATCCACGGCTTAGCTTGAAAGGCCATGCATATTGATATGAGTCGGGTGGTAGGTTTGTGGTGGATATTGGGCCCCGGTCGGTTGGCCTTCAGCGTTCAGAAACACTCGATTCACTCTGTGATGTACCCCCGAGGCACGTCACACTGTGATGTACCCCAGAGTCACGTCACACTGTGATGTACCCCAGAGTCACATCACACTGTGATGTACCCCAGAGTCACATCACACTGTGATGTACCCCAGAGTCACATCACACTGTGATGTACCCCAGAGTCACATCACACTGTGATGTACCCCAGAGTCACATCACACTGTGATGTACCCCAGAGCCACATTGCCCTGTGATGTACCCCAGAGTCACATCACACTGTGATGTACCCCAGAGGTACATTGCCCTGTGATGTACCCCAGAGTCACATCACACTGTGATGTACCCCAGAGTCACATCACACTGTGATGTACCCCAGAGTCACATCACACTGTGATGTGCCCCAGAGTCACATCACACTGTGATGTACCCCAGAGTCACATCACACTGTGATGTACCCCAGTCACATCACACTGTGATGTACCCCAGAGTCACATCACACTGTGATGTACCCCAGAGTCACGTCACGCTGTGACGTGACTCCCAGCCGCCTCCGCCGAAACCGCCAGTTCGCGGACGTGCCGGGATTGGCTGCGTGTAAATATCGGAATAATGCGTATAAAATAAATGCGGACTGATCGAGCTGTCGGGCTCGGGTCAGGTCGGGCGAGCAGTTGACCGCGGGTCAGGCGCGCAGTTGAACTCGGGTCAGGCGGTCAGTCGATCTCGGGTTTGACTTTGGTTGCCTGGTTTGCTTTTTAGCACAACTTCACAGCTCATTTTGACGATGTCCTCACACGTGGAGCACGTTTGCCAGTGCTGGGAATGAGTCACATATGCTTTCGCTGATGTCCAGCGTGCCCAGTTTACTGGTACGCGTATCGTGAGTTGCTTTTGAGAATGGTTTCCATGTCCGGTTACGATCCCACCTGCGTTGCCTCCACGTGTGCACCCTAGCGCATGACACTAAGCCTCGCCTGGCCTGCTGGCAGATCACCTTCAGCAAGTGGGTGGGAGTGGTGGTGGGGGCGCTGACCCTGCTGGCGGCCGCGCTCTCGCGCCTTCTGCCCGAGACCTCGCACCGCCCGCTCCCCGACACCATCAACGACATGATGGCCGCCTGCCGGGAGATGTTCCTCAACCTGCTGGTGGCGATGCCGAACATGCCGCGGCCCGAGGAGCCGGCGCCGACGCCGCAACCGCGACCCAAGCGCAACATGTCGGCGCTGTCGGCCTTCTCGGCCGTGCTCAGCTGGCGCTCGCGGTCCAAGTCGTCCAACAGCTGCGAGGTCCCGGCGCGCTCCATGTCCGACGAGGACTTCAAACGGGCGCCGCACGCGCCGCTCAGCAGTATGACGTCGGCGCCGCTGCCGCATGACGTCGCTGACGACGCGCCGCCGGCGCTGCGCACGCTGGTGCAGCGCGTGCGCGAGTCGGAGCCACCGCGGCCGTCGCTGCGCGAGAAGCTGGCGCGCGCGCTCTCGCAGCGCCGCCACGAGGCGAAGCTGGACGTGCCGGCGCGCCTAGCGCAGCGGCGCACCTCGTCGACGCCGTCGCTGCCGCACGCCGGCCGCCAGCGGGGGATCGACAACCCGGAGTTCGAGGCGGACGCGGCGCCGGCGCGCGTCTCGTTCGACCTGGTGCGCGCCGACTCGCAGGGCGTGAGCGTCAACGGCCTCGAGCCGCCGGAGCGTCCCGGCGCCGACGCCGATGCAGAGGTCGGCGCGTTCGCCGCGACCGACGAGGGCGCGCCGCCGCCGCTGGCGCCGGCGGTGGACGTGGAGGCGCCGCCGCCGTCGCCGCCCGGTACACCGACGCCGGCTGCGCAAGCGACGACCCACTTCTGAGCGCCGCGCGCACGCCGACAGACTGTAGTGACGTGGTCCAAGTAACGACTGGTAGCCTTCAAGGATCTTCCACGGTAGATAACTAATAACGTGCCGGCTCGGCCGCGGTTTTAGAGTCGTGCTGTGCTCGTTTATAAGCAGACTGTCAACAGTTATGAGACCTATAGTTGTGCCACGTGATTCCATTGCTGTTGACATCGTGTACATTCAGAACTGTAAATAGTCACATGTGATGCTGATAGAGAATAAACGAGCACAAGGTGTAAGTTACGTGTCCTTAGCTGGCCGTGGCGCCTCATCATTCCGCAAATTCCTTACAAGCTGGTCAAGCGGCTACGGAAAGACAGGAACGGCGCGAATCGCTGACGTCACAGCGCGTTCAACTAAGATAAATCATTACGCATCTTTTCGTGCCGGTGGACGCCTTACACATCCGCTGCAGATTCTGTAGCCGTCAGCCATCCCGGGCCAGACGCACCATATTTGAACCCGCACGTCCTCAGAGCGTGGGCAGAGTTCTTTTCACTACGGGTATCAGCCTTTAGCTCTCTAATCTGGTACGTGCAGCCCGCAGCAGCTGAAGCCCGCAGAATGCCAGGCAGATTCTGCGGTCGTTAGGTGTTGCAGACCACAGGGGACCGCTTGTAAGCTTTTTACCTGCATCCGCGAGGTATGACTGAGCCTGAAGTCGCTCCTGACTGACGGCCGCCCCTGCAGGACAGTGCGGAGGACCGGAGTCAAGTCCAGTGTCGACCACTGCTGCTGGTTCGATCTGCGCTTAGGTCAGTCCCGTACAGGCAGGGTCAGGCAACAGCTGATGATTGCCTGTCCCAGCCACCGAGCCAAAGCGGGCGACACGGCGCATGCGCATTCGCCGACTTTGTCGCTGGCCGATGGGGGGCACCAGTCCAGGCGGGGCAGCCACGTCCCCAGCACGGGTCCGTGGCCGGATGGCTGCCACAGACGGCCCGGTCCGTCTCAACTGGAGCCGTCTGCAGGCTCTGGGCAACAGCCTCCACTCACACAGCGCAGCCAGCGGGAACGAGCCGGGCCGTACGGTGTGAGTCGGGCCACTCCGGTGACGCGACGCATCGGACCCGTCCCGCAGAATACCAACGAACAACTGAGACCTCGAACACTCTCCCATATAATCGTGGCAAATGTGACGGATAACGCGCATACTGCGGATCAGTGACTGCGGTCACCATGCTGGTGACCTGACCTCAGGCCTCAGACCTCTGACCTCAGAAGAGCCGTCACTTGTGGACTACCAGGCACTCCCTGATGGCAACTGCCGCGCTCATCAGGCTATTCTCAGCCCGGCCTGCTACACAACAGCAGCACGTCCCCCAGCTGCGCAGTTACAGAACACCAACTTCATATCTCCACATAGCATTAGAGGAATAAAGGTACGCATGTGCATAGGTACAGGCACACAAACGCCACTATAACGACACAGTCCATCACGTGAATATCAACAATGACTGCATCAAACGAATCGATCACATCATTCCATAAAAATGTTTTAAAAACACGTAAGTAAGTGTTCTTTGAGGGCTGATTTCTTCTTAAACGTGGCATCACAGTGTTTGCACTTGTTGGCCTCTTCCCCAGCGTGCAGTTTTAAATGTCTGACTAGATTATTTTTGTATAAGAACTCCTTCGCGCATTGCGAACACTTGAAGGCCTTCTCGCCCTCGTGGCGTTTCATGTGAATCTTCAGCGAGCTGCCGTAGGAAAACGTCTTCGGGCACACGGAGCACGCGAATCCCTTCTCTTCGCGATGCACGCGTGCCACGTGCTGGTTGTAGTTCGACGCCGTCGAGAACTGCTTCCCACACGCCTCGCACACGTGCGACTTCACCTTCTCGTGCGTGCTCTCGTGGCGCTTCAAATCGCTCGGCTTCGCGAAGCCCTTGGCGCACGTGCCGCACACGTGCGGGTGACTGCGCTCGTGCGCCATCACGTGGCGGCGGTAATTGAGTCGGCCGACAACGCGGCGGCCGCAGTCAGCGCAGGTGAACCGCTCGGCGCGTCCCGCCTCGCCGCACAGCCGCCGGTGCGCCAGCAGGTTCCGTCGCAACGTGAAGGCGCGTCCGCAGCCGGCGCACGTCGGTCGCGCGGCGGCCGGCGCGGCGCAGACGTGCGCCAGCAGTGCCGCGCGGCTGTCGACGGCGCAGCGGCAGGCGGCGCAGCGCAGGCGCGCTGGCCCCGCCTGCCGCCGGCTGCCGCCACCGTGGCCGGCGGCGTGGCGGCGAAGCTCGCTGCGGTAGCGGAAGGCGCGCGCGCACGCGCCGCACTGCCACGGTAGCGGCGGCGGCGACGTCTGCACGGCGCGGTGGCAGCCGACTGGCGGCGGCGGTGCTGCCTCCGCCTCCAGCCGCGGCGGGAAGTGGTCATCGTCCAGGCCGCGCTCCTGGCAGGTGACGCTGAACTTATGGCGCACCTCCGACCTGTTGGCACCGACAGAGATCAGCTCAGATCGGCCGAGGGTGCAGCGCTGGTCGTGGTTAAGGTTCAACAGGGCCAAGGCACGGGCAGGTCCATGACTAAAAAAGATCACAGAAAAATTCCGAGGCTTTCCAAAAACGTTTCGTGGGGCAGGGGCATCCAAGAGCTTTTCGGGGCTGGTCAGGGCACGCTAGGGGCGGTTTAGGGGGCGGCAGAGGGGGAAGGGGGAGGTCAGCGAGGGCTGTCGCAAGGCCAGACCACTTTGATCTCACCCGTACCAGGGCGGTGCTAGAAGATACAGCAAATGTGGTTCACGCGCTGCGCACCGTGCAGGTCGGCTCGTTCAGAGGGTCCGTTCAGACGATCCCATGTCAAAGACTGTGCAAAAGAGCGCGACACAAGGTGCGAACAGATCTAGATCCAACAAGCAGGCAGGCAAACCGAAGGACGAGAAGTGCTGCCCTTTCTGCCATGCTCCTGCCTTCACTTTTGGAACATTCTTTTAACGAGCACCTACTTGTCTCCCAGGCGCCAGGGACCGTCACGTCACGCTCACTGCTCACTGATAAAGATAAAGCTAAGGACAATCTAATCGCATCTCACTCCTCGCTCTTCTCCTTCTATCTTTCTCCGTGTGCGCCATTAGCACGAAGGGGGAGGACGTTTCCCCACAGGCGCCACCTTAAATTCAATCGTAACAGTTAATGCCAGCACCACTCGTCTTTATCTTCATCCGTTTTCATACCAAGTTAAGACCTCTCAAGAAAGGCAGGGATGGCAGATGGTAGGCATCCAACCGCGCGTCGACTTTTGGGCCGCCCTTAAACCCATCAGCAGCGTCTCCCACGGCATCGAGTGCGATGCAGCACCACTCTCCATGCCTCACGTGTCGGCCTCGGTGCTGGTACCCGCCTGCCAGACGAGCGTAAGCCCGTCGTCAGAGAGAGGATGTCCTCCGTAAGTGGTCAGGAAAAGGCCGCCACAAGGCAGCGTCGTGGGCTTGGCACAAATCACGGTTACTGGACGGGACTGAGGCGGAAAGCACAGCGCGTGGAAGCACGAGCGTCAGTCACGGGCGGCAAAACGGGGTCACGGTGATGGGTACAAGGAAGTGTGGCAGCCGATTCTAGGTCACAGGGACGGTCACGGAGGCTTGAGTCGCAGTGCCGGTCACGGAGGCGGCTGGGCGACAGTGACGAGTGAGGGGAGCCTGCGTCACAGGTCGGAACACGGGATTTTCTGTCACCAGACCGACAACGGGGAATGCTGGGCGGAGGGGAACGGGATCGCTGGACCGCTGGGACGTCCACGAGGGTTTCATGGCCGCGTATACGTGTAAGGGAACTTCCGGGTCACGTAAATGGGAAGGGTGCTTATAATCTGCGAGGCGCAGGTTGCTACATCCAACTGAAAATGCTCAGGTCGTTTGCCACGGGCCACGCAATGACCGGACTGACGTCAAGACCAAGTTGAAACGGCAGGTGCTGGCTGAACATCAATGCGAGCTGTGAGCGCATTTGCCCAAGCCCATCGCAGCCGCAATTGTGGCGACAAGTTCACCTCCAAGCGGACTTCATGGCACGCCACGTAACCACTTGACATAGCAGTTGTAACGTTACAGCAGACGCCGCCCCTAAAATACTACAGGTGCTGTGCCACGTTTCCTACGTTTCCACGCAATCAGTTGGTGTGCTGCTGGGGACCACTTCCGGCGCGCAGGCACCGACAGACCAAGTATACGGCCCATATGACACATCACACCAACCACCCTCCGTGCCCGTGGGGGCGGGGGACACCAATCTAGAAAAAGGGCCGGCGCCCGACGCGTCCTCAAGCGCTGCACACCCAGAGGGCGGCACGGGACGGGGGCCGGGGGCCGGGGGCCGGGGGCCGGGGGCCGGGGGCCGGGGGCCGGGGCCGGGGGCCGGGGGCCGGGGGCCGGGGGCCGGGGGCCGGGGGCCGGGGGACGGGGGCCGGGGGCCGGGGGACGGGGGCCGGGGGACGGGGGCCGGGGGACGGGGGCCGGGGGACGGGGGACGGGGGCCGGGGGCCGCCAGCGCTGCCCGGACGAGACCAGGCCACCATCCGAGCACGCACCAGCAGCCGAACAGCCGCAAACTCCCCAGAAAGTTGCGACATCCGGCAACAACAACTCTCCATTTTACCGAGCCCAGGCCCGGGCAAACACTGGGCGCTACACGCCGCGGCGGTGGCGCTGATCCGTCTGGGGGGCGCAGCGGGCGCGGATCAGCGGCCGTGACAGCGTCATTAAGCCGCGGCAAATGAATGCCGCGCCGCTGCGGATGACGGCGGCGGCGGAATATTAAGCCGCGCCACCACCTCTGCAGATGTGACCGCCACCTTATGAGGGAGGAGGCCGGTTCGACGCTCGCCAGCTATCATCGCTTCTCCTGTCAGCCGATGACTGACGCTCAACAGACCAGAGAAAATGCGCCATCAATGTCCTGTTCAGCACTGCGCTAGCGCGGTTCCCCATTGAGCATGGTAGTACTGCCTGGCAATTTGGCTGCCGTGGCCAGCAATGCCTCCGCACCAGATGGTAGGCTTCAGCTTAACTGACGCGCCCCATTGTCCCCCCGGCACCGGCGGGGGGGGGGGGGGGGCGCTCCTGGCTACTGAGAAGACCGTCTTACGGGCTGACCAAGGCAGTCATCAACACGCGCCTTTGGTCCAGCCATGTCTCACTGTGGATGTCCCGCCAGACTCGGTGCGGCCAGAGCAGATGGTCACGTGATGTCGTCAGGGCTAGTGGTTAGAGAGGGTGTGCGACAGTCGCTGGGGAGGGGGGGGGGGGCTGACCACTGTTTTCGCCTCTCCCAGGTTAGTGGAACCGGCCTCGGTCCATGCCCGATACGTCAGATTAGCCCCTGTGGCCTAAGCCATTGACTCCCGTCAATGCGTTCCCAGCGCGACCCGCGACAACTCTTTTTGGAGTAGGCGCCTGTGTATGACGAACTGGCGTCCATGGCGGTGCCGCTCCCGAAGGTGGGACCCCCCCCCACACACACACACGCACGCACGCACGCACGCACGCACGCACGCACGCACGCACGCACGCACGCACGCACGCACGCACGCACGCAAGCACACACACCAGTCCAGCCAAGGCGTCGAGTCCGCATATCGCCAATGGTGAAAGAGCACGAGCCATCGATCTTAGGCACCGGCTGGCTCGCGACCGCTCAGGAGATGCGCTCGAAAATCGCGCAGGTCGTGGGCGGAAGTCGGCCCAGAGCCGAGTGACAGAGAACGCCATTGCAAAGTTGGCATTCAAAAGGCGCCACTCGACGAGAACCCCGGCGAGAAAACTGACGGCGAAGAGTCATACAGTTTCCAAGTCGGCCGTCCACCAGTATCTGAAGACCAGCCCGCAACTGAAGCTACTCCAGCTCAGGTTGCATCCAACGTTTACCGTGGACCAGTAGCGCAGGCGGCTGGAATCAACCAAGACCTGCAAGAACTGGTCCGTTCAGGACTGGAGACGCGCTCTGTTCAGTGACGAGACGCCCTTCGAGCTCTTCCAAGACCCTAACAGCCAGAAAGACCGGGTCTGGGTAAACAGCAGCTTGTAGATGCCGATCGCCGAGACAGTGAAGCAGCTAAAACAGCTACAAAAGGTAAATATTTTTTGTCTGGGATATGATGAGCTACAGAGGACTCTCTGAGCCACACCAGCTCCCGGAGGACAGACCGCCACCGCCGACTTCTACTTCAAAGGGGTACCGGAGAAGACCGCAATCTCAGCGATGCAGCGGAGGAAGGAAAATAGCCCTCCAACCAAGGTCAAACTTCTGCCAAACATGTCGAGTGCGATTTTCCAGCAGGACGGCGCTCTAGCTCATCACGCCAGGAAGACCCAGGACTGGTGCTGTGCCAACTTCCCGAGCTTCTGGGCGAAGGGTAAGTGGCCAGGCAACAATCCCGACATGTCGCCGATCGAGAATCTCTGGGGGATCGTCAAGGAGAAGTTCGGCAAGACGTCACCGGCGTCGTTTGAGAAGACCCTGTTACAAACGTGCAAGCGGCGTGGCGGAGGATCAGAGCAGAAACCTTCGACAGCCTGACGAGCGGCATGCCGGAGCGCATGCGGCAGCGTATACGACTGTGTGGAGATTACATAGGCAAATACATCACAAACCAGTCTCAATTATTTTCTCTGTTGGTGAGGACGATACAACCGCACCTAAATTTCGGGACACCCTGTCCCGAAATCTGTTGGACCCCGTGTTGTGCGGGGACCCAGAGCCCCGAGGCATACAGTACACTCAGTTGGACCCCGTGTTGGGCGGAGACCCAGAGACCAGTGTTGGGCGGGAACCCAGAGCCCCGAAGCATACAGCACACTTATGGACTGTCGGCTCACTGATCCCACCACCAACTGCACTATCGCGAACGAGCCATTCCCGCAGTCTCTGATGGTTTGTCCCACCGACCCAACGGCGAAGGAAAACCGATCCGTTGAACACTAAGCCTCTCCGCCGTGAGCAGGCTTCTCGAAGTTCGGCGCCCCAAACGGAAATAGCTCGAGGTGTTGACGGCCGAGCCGCGAGTCCATCCTCAAAGGACGAGGAAATTAGAAACATGCGAGAG